TAATAATAATAATAATAATAATAATAATAATAATAATAATAATAATAATAATAATAATAATAATAATAATAATAAAGTTGAGTTTGCGATTGATTTGTAGAACAAATTATTTTTTCATATATTCTGCGGTTCGTACATTATATTAACATATCAAAATTTGTGCGAAACTGGATAATCATTATTTCCGGTATGTTTAGCATCATCTTTTTTTTAGTTACCAAATTAATTCCTATAAAAACCACGAGGCGAAAACAATAACGCGAGATAACTTAGCAATAATTAACTAGACCACTTGTTACCAGACAACATCTATTTTAATAATAATGATTAGCGTTTGATCTCGTAAAACAAATTACTTTTTCAAAAAATTCGTAATTCGTACATAAAATATATCTCGTGTGCCTCAAGTTCTATTAATAATATTGATAAAAGCCTGTAACAATAATTTAACCTTCGGTATTAAGCGATAATAAAAAACGACTAACCTTTTATTATCATAAAACATAAAATTTTAATTCCCATCTAGTAACTAAATATAGAATAATTAAATCGGAAGTATTTATCCACGTTTTTTTATCATGATCATGAATAGCATACGGTACTTTCCCTTTTTTGTTTGATCGTCTTATTGTGACTAAATATAGAATAGTTAGATAACGACAACATCATTTTCTTTGTCAAATATAGAATAATGAAATTAGTTTTTACTAAATATAGAATAAATTAGATAATTATGTAATTGCATATAGAATATATACACATCAGAAAAATTAATTGTAGATTTAACAAAAAATTCCGGGAATTAGATGTATATGTAAGATTAATAACGTGCATAAGCATCACTTAACGCAAAGCCTTGAAAATTATATTGAATGAAGCTCAAGAACATGGAGAAGAATTTTTTGAACAAATTTTAAAAAAAATGGTTAGCAGCACCTTTCAATAATGGTGCAAAAAACTATTGAATTAAAGCAACAAAATCGATTACTAATTTTTTTGGACTTGTTTGTAAATAATGATTATACTGTGACTCTCTTTATAGTGTATTAAATAAAATCTATTAATAAAAATTTTTCAGAAATCCACTATATCGACTGTTTTGAAATAGATTAAATCCGCTATATCGAGTGGATTTTATTAAAGACAGTTCCATCGTATCGTGAGTTTGACTAGTCTCCGCTATAAAGAGCGTGACTTATGTATTTAACTCACTGCGTCATTTACAGGATCACATGTAGCCTAACCATCTTAATAAACTAGCAATTTATACGCTTCATCAATTTATTAAAATCAAGAAAATTAATAAGAATTAAAAGAAAGTATAATAAATAAACTGCGGTATCAAACTAAATTAGAATAATACATCGAAAAGAAAAGGAGATTTAAAATATTTAAATAAAGTAAATCGTCAAAAAACGAGTTTTTCTAAAATATTTAATAAATAATTCGGCTTTGTAATAAATGTGCAATGAACAATTTTTATGCGTGTATGCGCATAAAATTCTAAATTCGATAAATTTAAATATCTATTTTGTTAAATAAAGTTCATAAAAAACGCATGGATAATAAATCATGGAAACCCTTTGTATGAATAGAGAGAAACAGAAAGATAGAAAGAAAACATAGGACGGCTTATACAATATATTATAACGAGAACAGAGTGCTTTAGGTTAATCAAAAATATGTGCGGAGAGAATTAATAGGTATTGAACGGAGAAAGCGTATTGAACAGAGACAAATGAAGAATATCGCCTAAAGGAAAAATTCGAAGTTGGTTGTGACGCAATTATTTGTTGTTTTATATGGTATGTTTCAAAAGAGTTTGAAAAATCAACGACTGACTTTAACAAGAGTTTATTTTAAAGATTTCAAGAATCAACGAATGATTTTAAAAAGAGTTTGTATTAAAGATACGTTGCATGGAGAATAAGAAAACTCGAAATATCGATGTTGTTTCATATGGTGTGTTATAAAGAGAGTCGAAAGATCAACGAATGATTTTAAGAATTTAAACATACGTCGCATGAAGAATAATCGAAATATCATTACTGATGTTGTTGTTGTTTTGATTTGATACATTCGACTGATTGTTAAAAATATCTATGGTCCCACTTATTAACGTATCCATTATATTCGAATTTGGTGGTTGCTGTTGTTGCTGAAGAGGTTGTTGTAAAGGTAATTGTTGCTGAATTTGATTTTGGTTTTGTAATTGTGGCTGTTGCTGCGGTTGATTATTTTGATTCATCTTTTAAAATTCTGTATTAAATTATTAAAATAGCAGTTTTAATTTTACGAATTTATGAGTAGCAAAAAAGAGAGAGAGGGAAAGCAAGAGAATCAATCATTTTATAATACAAAAGATAGATCCAAATTTGGTACGCGTGATCAATATTTTTTTCACATGAAATTTCTCACAATGTCGTCATCAATTTCAAAATTATTGAACACTTGCTTCGTTATGTATTATTGGAAATCAAATTCCACACCTGATTCGTTATGTAACATTGTACAATCAAATGCATTTATTGGTCAGTGGTTATGTCTCTTCCGAGTATTAAGTCTCTTTTAAAGTATTAATTAATGACATTAATGAATGCATAATGTATTGTTACACTTATATGTTTATTAGTAAAATGAACAAAACAAAAAAAAATTATATGTAGGATTTATCCCACGTTTTTTTCATGATCAACAGACAACTTCCTTTTTATGTCAAACAGAATAATAAAATTAGGTTTTACTAAATATAGAATAAATTAGAAATATACATTTGACATTGGAAAATTAATTGTAGATTTAACAAATTACGGAAATTAAATGTAAGATTAGTAACGTGCATAAGAATCACTTAACGCAAAGCCTTGAAAATGAGCTCAAGAGCATGAAGAGGGAAAATTTTTGAACAAAAAAATCGAGATTTTTAATATGATAGATTTAATAAAGTATCTTTCAATAATGTACGAAAAGCTATTGAATTAAACAACAAAAATCAATTACTGAGTTCTTGTACTTGTTTATAAATAATGATTACACTGTGATTCACTCTAATAGTGTATCAAAAAAAATCTATTAGTAAAAAATTTTCAGAAATCCACTATATCGAAAGTTTTGAAACTGCTATATTGAGTGGATTTTATTAAAGACAGTTTTTGATATTTATCCATTGTATCGTGAGTTTAACTAGGCTATAAAGAGCGTGACTTATTGGGGTGGGCGGTCAATTATCATATAAAAATTTATTATCGAATTTTTTTTGTGTAACAATGTAAATACTTTATTTGTAGTATCGAATCAATATCATTTTATTTATTATAATACAGTAATAATAAGAATAATTGTCCTTTTATTCGATACTTATTTAGTGGATGCCTCTTCGATAGTTTCGATAGTAGGTGCCTCTTCAATAGATCTAAGTAATGCTTCGTTGAATTGTTGGTTTTTTTGATATTTCCTAAGGCGAGCATTTTTTAATTGGGAATCTTCGTTTATATGATTTATAGACGCCCATCTTTGATTAGATGCACAGATTTAACGACGAAGAATTCTAAAGCGAAAATTTGAAAAGGTCAACTTTAAGTTCCAAAGAACTAAACTACAGTGCGAAATTTGCATTTATCTGAAAAAAACTTACTGGTTAATTAAAAATTCTAAAAATAGTTTGAAAAAATAAATATTTTCATAAACGATGCAAGAAATGGCTCAGTAACTTTGTAGTCGTAGTATGTAAGAATCAATTTACATTAAACCATCGACGAAAAAAAATGCAACTTGTGCATCTAAAAAGCAAGATCCAATTTTATATATATAAAAACGTATCAGTAAATCGATCATTGATTAAACCAAATTAATAAGTAACTACATATAGTTTTGATTTACTTAATTGCCACTGACTTAACTCACTGCGTCTTTTACAGGATCATGTGTAACATAACCATCAGTTCTCACTGTAAAATTACGTATCTACACAAGTTTTTTTTTTAAACGAATCAATTGGCTACAGAGAAAAATATTATCCAGATAGATTTAGAAAACATTAAAGCTCAGGTTTAGTTGAACGGTCACTAAATGTGCGAATGCAAATTAGATTATTATTAATAATTACATTTCTCTTAATAATGTGTTTAATATTAGGAACAGAAACTTTGTAATTTATACGTTTCATCAATTTATTAAATTAAGAAAATTAATAAGAAATAAAAAACGAGTATAATAAATAAACTACTGTGTCAAGCTAAATTAAGAAAACATTAAAAAAATTAAAACAATACATCGTAAAAAATTAAAGATATGATAGTTATAAAATGAATTTAAAGAAAAGGATATTTTAAAATATAGTAAATCGTAAAAAAAAGTTTTCCAAAAGATTTAATCAATAATTTGATTTTGTAATTAAATGCACAATGAGGCTATTTTTTATGCGTGTATGCGCATAAAATTCAATAAATTTAAATATCCATTTTGCTACTTAAATGTTCATAAAAAAAAATTCCGCTAAGTTGGCAAAAACTATGAATGGAGACTCTTTATAGTGAATAGAGAGAAAAAGAAGGATAAATAACATAAAAAGAACAAAGTACTTTAGGTTAATCAAAGATATGCGTGAAGAGGATTTTAATAGATATTGAACAGAGACAAATAAGATAAGGAAAAAGTCGAAGCTGGTGCTGATTTTATTGTGACACAATGGTTTTATGACATTGTTTTATACGGTTGTTTTAAAAGAGTTTGAATGACCGACTTTAACAAGAGTTTATATTAAAGATACGTCGCATGGAGAATAATCGAAATATCATTATTGTTGTTGTTATTTTGATTTGATGTATTCGATTGATTGTTAAAAATTCTATGGTCCCATTTATGAATGTATTCAATATACAGTCAGACCTCTCTAAATGCAACTTGCTCGGACCAACTTTTGACATCGTGCATTTAGAGAACAATAAGAAACATTGCATTTATGGAGGTTAAGTATTTGGGCCAGAGTTTAACTTGCATTTAGAGAGGTGTCACATTTAGGGAAGGTTGCATTTAGGGCGGTTTGACTGTATTCGAATTTTGTGGTTACTGTTGTTGCTGAAGAGAAGGTTGTAGGGCAGAGTTTGATTTTGCTGTTGTTGCTGCTGCCTAAGAGCTAAATGTCTTATTTGTAGAATATTCTGCGACTGATTGCTTTGATTCAGGTTTTTCTATAATTAAATTAACATATACATATTTACACAATATTTAATGCCAAGGCTAATGGTGTTCGTTGATTATCCGATTATTGCAAAGTGATGAAGTTGCTTAATTTTGGACAAGAATTGTATACCTACGTTATAATATCAAGAAGGCATCTGAAGAATTCTTTTATATATAGAAAGTTTCCATTTCAGAAAGTACTCCCGTTAGGCCGAAGCATCGGTATAATATAAGGCGCTAGAACATGATTTCATTAGTAACTTTTATATTATACATCCCTTTATTATTCCCTTGTTAGAGCACATACATGATCCATTCCTCCTATTTTCTTTATTTCTCTTTCATGTACATTACCTCTGTCCTTTATTCCTTTGTTTATTTGTTCCTTTTCCTTAAGTGCGAGGTGAATTTACTAATAATTATGCCTGGGATAAGAAAATTTTATTATTAGATGATTGGCTATATATTATTTTTCGACACAGACAAAAACTTTGCATATACATACTATTTTTGCTTTTGACATACAACAATTTTGCCACCTTATCGACAAACTAATTAGATGATTGGCTATATTCTATTTTTGCTTTTTAACACAGACTTATCGACATACTAATTAGGCAATATACTTTTTCAGACAGACAACATTTATCGACAAACTTTTTGCTTTTTGATGCAGACTTGATAGTACCGCTTGTTTACCAAAAACAGCTCGAGTACATACTTTTAATTTCTAGGAGCAATATGAAACAAAATACGCCCGTGAGAATGTTTGAATAGATCGCCGATATTTTTTACTTGATTCATAAGTTATTGAAACTATTTAATTGATTGAGTCGCGTGCTACTTATTGTTGTTGATCTGAGTAACTGTATAATATATTCATGAACATTGAAATAATATATTCATGAACATTGAACAACGAATGGTGTTAAGAGAGATAAACAATAATATGTAGATTGAGTAAGAGTCGACTGCTCATTATCAAACACAATAAACAATTATTTATAGAAAGTTCTTTGCTTAAATTTATAATTGTTTAGAGGCTTGATACTGTCATTTTTTACATTGAGTAAATCCACTTGCCACTTAATAACTCTTGTTTTGATTGCTTTGCAATATATTAATAAAAATAATTCTAATAAATATTCTAATACATGTATAACCTAAATATTTTTTAAAAATCGCTTTAGTTAATACCTGTATTAATTTCGATTTTCAGATAATGACGTGTGTTGTATTTCTTTTGATGTTTTCGGGCATAAAAAATTTTGCGTATAACATTTTGCCACCTTATCGACAAACTACATATTTTTTGTTTGTATGATATAGTTTATGTAACATAAATACATGTATATCGATATCGATAAACTTCTTACAAAAAATGGTGAAACAAAAAGATATGACAAAGATTCTTTAGGTTCTTTATTGATTGTTTGTAATTAGATGTTTTATCAGCAAACTAATTAGATGATTGGCTATATTCTATTTTTGCTACACAGAAACTAATTTAGACAAACTAATTAGGTGATATTCTACGTATATTTTTATCACAAGAATAAAGACTCACGAAAAAAAAAGCGGTTAGAAAACATTTTAGCCACAAAAATGCACCATTATGCACCAATCAAATTATCAAAATAATAGAAACGTGGATTTTGTCAATGTAGAAACGTTCAGCTCGTGGATTTTGTCAATGAAGAAACGTTCAGCTCGTGGATTTTGTCAATGTAAATATCAATCATTGAATCCTGTTTGATTATTTATTAATGAAATATGGAAAAAATCGTGCGAGAAAAAAAGAATTCATTATATTTTCCTGAAAAAAATACCCGCACTATTTAGAATATATATTACCGAAAAAAAAGAGCGCACCAATAATAAACCGTGAGCGTTTACTTTAACCGTACACAACTTATGAAAGACAATAAAAATAAAAAGTCCAAGTACCCACGACGAAACTTTAATGTTGTCACTTTTTATTACATGTGATTAGATGTTTTTGCATTGTCCAAATTATTAATGAATTGTGCCACCTTATCAGATAACTGCTCATTGCTTTTCGTGTTGTTGCTTTTCGAAAGAACATAAAAAGAATTGTGACACGATTGGCTATATTCTATTTTACTTTTCGACAGAACAAAAGTATAAAAAGATGTGTCCCCTCCTTTCTCTTTCCTCTCTATTTTCTGCTCATAAATTCATAAATCTAAAACTGCTATTTTAATAGAGTATTTTTAAAACATGAATCAAAATAATCAACGACCACAATTCCAAAATCAGCAGCTCCAAAATCAACAGCTGCAAAATCAACGCCAAGTTCAGCTGCAATTACCTTTACAACAACTTCATCAACAACAACAACAACCACCACCGAACTCGAATATGATGAATACGTTTATAAATGGGACCATTGATATTTTTAACAATCAGTCGAATACATTAAATCAAAATAACAACAACACCAACAACAGCAATGACATTTCGAGTATTCTCCGTGCGACGTATCTTTAAACTCTTAAAAGTCATTCGTTGATTTTTCGACTCTTTTTATAACACACCATATAAAACAACATCGATAACAATAACATTTCTATGCGACGTATCTTTAATATAAACTTTCTTTTAAAATCATTCGAATTCTCTTTAAAACACACCGTATAAAACGTCATGCAACAATTATGTCGCAATTATCTCCTTATTTATCTATTAAACTTCTCTCCCCACATATTTTTGATTAACCTTAAGCACTATGTTCTCTTTATAATATATTGTATAAGCGATCTTATATTTTCTTTCTATCTTTCTTATCTCTCTATTTATACTAAAAGAGTTTCCATTATTTATTATCTATACGTTTTTGCCAACTTCACTTGTTTTTTTTCTATGATCATTTATTTAGCAAAATGGATATTTAAAGTTATAATTTACCAAAACGAATTTTATGCGCATACACACATATACTATATATACTATGATAAACTTTTAATTACAAAGTCAAACTATTTATAGTTAGTTAATATACTCGTTTTTTATTTTCTTATTATTTTCTATTTAAACACTTTGTTTCCAAGTTTTTTCATGTTTTTATCGTTATAAGAAACTTTAATATTTTTTAAATTTAGCCTAGAATAGAATTTAGAGTATCGTCCATTTAACCGTATAAATTACAAATTTCTGTTTCTAATATTAAACATGTAACTACTCATAATAATCAAATTTGCTTCCGTACTTTTAATTTATAACTAGTGAGCGTTCATCTAAACCTGAATTTTAATATTTTCTAAACTATCTGGATAGTTGAATTTTTATCGCAATCACAGCTAATCCACAAATAGATATATATGAATTATGATATGAAAAGATGTAGGAACCAAAATGGTTTTTTGATCCCCTGTCTTTTAGTAAACTGTTCGAGTTTATCCTGGACTTGTTTTTGCAATTTCTGGCTTGATTCGTTTGAAAAAGCTTGTATAGATACGCTTTTAGTGTGTGTGATACAAAAATTTTTTAAAAAATAAATCGCAATTCCAAATCTCTCTGAATTTTTGATATGCTTCTCGGCCTGAATTGTGACTTAATTTCTTAATGCTCGCCAAAATTTTTATCGCTAGTCAACAACTAAAAACAGATTCCTGGTCATATAAAATTATGACACTTAATTCTGTGATAAACTATTATACGGCATTAACTTCGGGTATTTAAACGATAAATAAACCTACTGTAATTCCCATATTGTAACTAAATATAGAATAATTAAATAGGAAGTATTTTATCCACGCTTTTTGTCATAAGTATATTTACTTTCCCCGTTTTTGTTTGATCGTCTTATAAACTTTATATTGTGACAAAATATAGAATAATTTAATAATGTCATTGTCAAATATAGAATAATAAATTATTTTTTTTATTAAATATAGAATAAATTAGATAAATTACGTAATTACATACAGAATAAATTAGAAATATACACTTTGTTTTTTATGCCAGACTTCTAAGACTGCCATAATGATATCGGAAAATTAATTAGTAACGTGCATAAGAATCACTTAACGTAAATCCTTGAATGAGCTCAAGAACATGAAGAGGGAAAAATGTTTTGAACAACAAATCGAGACTTTTAATATGACAGATTTAAAAAAGTGGTTAGCAGTATCTTTCAATAATGCTACGAAAAACTATTGAATTAAAGCCACAAAATCAATTATTGATTTATACTTTATAAATAATGATTACACTGCGACTGTATCAAAAAAAATCTATTGGTAAAAATTTTCTAATGTTTTCTGAGGAGCAAGTGCAACATGACCATCTTACATATCATATATAATTAATAATAACTTATTTAATATTTATATTTTTGAACTTACTATTTAATTTTTTTATAATTACTAAAAAAATTTTTCTAATATTTAAAACTTATTATAAATTAAATAATATATTTATATAGTAAAACTTATAAATTATATATTTATAATTTTACTTTTCAAAAGCAAAAAGATTTACTATATTTTTTATTAAGCTAATATATTAAAATATATTTTATTTAATATAAAAAATTATAAAATTAGTTATATTTTAAAATTATTATTATAAATAATAAGAATTTTTTTATAATTATATAACTTTATAAGCTTTATTTATTTGATTTATGATTTTATAAAAATAAAAATATAATTTTTAAAAATTTTCAAGTTTATTAAGTTTATAATTAATAATTTAAATTAATATTTATAGTTAAAATCAAATTTAATAATAATTTCTTTACAAATAATTTATTTATTATTATAAATAAATCTTTAAATATAATTTAGTTTTAAAAAGTTAAAATTATAAAATATTCTAAATAAGAAATAAATTCAAATTCATAATAATATACTTATATATTATAAAGAAAAAATATTAGTTAATTTACTAAATCAAAATATTATATATATTATAATTTTAAAATTATTAATAATTACTTATTAATTAATAAATAATATTTTATTTATTTTATAAAATGTAATAAAGTTTTTTTTTAAAAAAAATTATTTATTATTATATTAATAAATAAATTATTAAATTTATTTTATATTATATATTATATAATTATTAAAAAAAACTTAAGTTTATAATTAGAATTAATAATTTTTTATTATTAAAATATATAATAAATCTAATATAAAAATAAATTTTAATTTAATTTAAAATATTAATAATTTTTATTTTTAATTTTATTCTAATTCTTAATTTTTAATAAAATTTTTTAAAATTAATAAAATTAAAAAAAAATATGATCCATTATGAAAATTTTGATATATTAGATAAATATTAGTAAATTATTTTTTCAAAATAAAATTTTTAATTCTGTTTTATTTAATTAAATTATTAAGTATTAGAATTTATTTAAATATAAAAATTTTTATTATATATTTTTTATAAAAAAATTTTTACTAATAATAATTTTTTTTAATTATTATTTCTTAAATTTTACTATATAAAATTTGATTA